GGCAGATCTGTGTGTATGACCTAGGCTCTGATACCAGTTGTTAAGAACAAAGCACACACACACGAATAGAAAGCAAGAAAGCAATAGAGAACACGAGATTTAACGTGGTTCGGTCTAATCTGACCTACATCCACAGGGGCAACTAGGGTTTGTATTATTGAGTGATGATGATTACAAGTACAGGAGATCATATATATAGACAACTAATTAGGGTTTAACCCTTGCTGGACAAGTTATAGCAAACTGGGCTTAAAACCATTTGGGCCGGCCGAAACCCTAATCTGGTCTCCTAATTCCAAGTTGTCTATAAGTGGGCACTTTGGGCCGATGACTACACATCACCAACACCAACAATAATGGTTTTACCAGTGGAAGGAATGGTGGAAAAATCTGTAAGCTATTACATATTTTTCTATGGTAAGAGATGTTGACACGAGGGAGATAATGGGGCAGAGAGCATGAAAGGAACTGTATAATTAGATCATTTGTTCTTTGTAGTGAGCCAGTGAGGTCAAGGCTGTACTGGAATGAAGTCCAGCCAAAGAGTTAAAATCCATAACGGTTCAAAAGTTATGTTTGTGGCATATTGAAATTGATTATATTTGTATAGTCCATGTTACTTGGTGTAGTTAAATGCACCGGATTGTGGGAAAATGTTTAATACCACCCTTAACTCTACTTGTAATCAGCCTGGCCCAACAAATATAAACCTAGCTTTTGTAAATGATACATTGCATTGTGTATGGATCGACATACAATTAACTGAATTGGTACACTTGATATTTTCCTTGATTTTGCACCTCTTTTGTTTGATGGCATCGAAAGCAGAAAAATGTTTAAACAAGCAGAAAAATGATGTATGCAGAAACCTAAATGTTTGACGTGTTCTTGTATTATGTCTTTGGAAAATCCAGTGTCTAGGTTAGTAGCTTTTGTTATCATATCCCTTCACTAGACATTAGCTTTTCTATTGCAATCTATTCTCCATTTGAACATTTTTGCTTCTACTGTGGGTAACTGTCAATTTAATGTTTTCTTTCCAAAATAGGGTTCTACAATTGACCGGACCCAATTATTAAGAGGTGAAATTGTGTGGTTGAATTTTGGGTAGAAGAGAAAAATTTTAAGACCCACACTTATCCTTCTCCAAAAGGAAAGTGGATCCTTTTTATTGAGACAAACAAAGAAGAAAATGTGGATACTTTTTATGGGATGGAGGGAGTGTTAAGTGTTACTTGGTGTGCATATGTCAAAACCTTTCACTATTATTATAAGTACATCTATCAAAGTTGTGCTATTTGCTGCAGGCCATTGCTGTAAGTTGTTGTATCCGTGAATCATGGCCTGTTCTTATTATTACTCCATCTTCCTTGCGTTTGCATTGGGCTTCTGTAAGTAATTTCAATGACTCAATATCAAGGTATCTCTTTCTTTATATTTATACCCGATGCTCATTGCTTTAACTAATTCTTGCAGATGATTCAACAGTGGCTTGATATTTCACCTTCTGATATACTTGTACGTTTCTGTGCTATGTTCTAAACATAAGCATATAACTTAATGCTCACAATGATTAATCTTAGTGTGTTATTGTTTGACCATCTCTACACTATGTGACATCATTTGTTCACTCAACAAGGCAGTTATTTCATGTTTTTCCTTTTCCATTTTTCTTTCTCCGTAGATCTTTGACTCTCTGTGATATTTAAGCATCTGAACAAAGTAGGTAAACTAGGTATTGAAAAGATTCTAAAGTTCTGACAATAAGATATCTCTTTTTAAAATTGTGTTTTTAGATAAAAATCTTTAGTCAATAGAACACCTAAGAGTGGGGGCTTAGTAGTGGTTTTGCTGTCCTGATGAGCCAGTGTTTTATAAGATTTTCAACTGTATGGAGATTTGAGCTCTTTTCTTGCATTTTTATGAAGTTGTCCAGTTTTGGGAGGTTTAGTTGTTGCTTATGACTATAGTGTTAAGGTGATGGCCAACTGTTATTTCTTGCTTTTATTGGCTGTCAAGACCACACTTCAATTCACACCCTAAATAACTTGCTTTTATTGGCTGCCAAATTTTTATGTAAGGGAAGTGGACCTAGCTGATATGGGTGGGAGGAGTGGCATTAGCCTGTTGGATTGTGTATAGTCTCACCACATAATTAATGCTTTCTGCTGTACAACAACAACAACCCAGTAGAGACCCCCGGCTGCGTGTAAAGTTGCATTGATTGACTAGCTGCTACTTCATTAACTACAAAAGTGCAGACAACTTAGAGATCCATTTTGCTTTATTCCATCACACCCAAAGCCAAAAGATAGTGAATTTTTTGCTCCATCGTAAATGATGGAAAGTAATGCTTTCTGCTGTCTTTCCACCAAATGTTTTTCATTTGCATCAAATGTGGTATTTTGGATATGAATTTTTGTCACCTATTCTTGCTACTAAATTTCTATTCAACCCATGGGCAGGTGGTTTTATCCCAATCAAGTGGTTCAAATAGGGCAGGATTCAAAGTGGTGCCATCTAATGCAAAGAGATCTATCCAACTTGATGGTCTCTTTAATATAATT